TGTATTGTTCCATTGTGTTTAGTGCTTGTAACTGCTAAATAAGCCACCATGGGCCCAAATAAAGCTTCTAGTGCCAGCCAGCCCTTTGGTAAAGGGCTGAGAAAGAGGGGAGAATGTGCCTTTTTCAGTGACTCTGCAATATGTACGATACTAAAGCAGAAGGAGTCTATAAAGGCTATAGCGGCAGCCAGCGATAAAGCGTAGCATTAACTGTAGCAAGTAAGTTAAGCGATTAATCGATAGAAAAAGGACAGCACGAACCTAACTCCTCCAATGTTGTTGGAGTTATGTAGGGTGACTGACAACACCGCCATCTCTACCGCCTCCACCACCACTATGTATGGCTTATGCTCTCAGTGGCCCTTATACACCCAACAACAACAACAACACAGCAACACTCGTGACATACTTAATGACATATTTTATTCATTCTAGAGTATATGTCATGTTTCTATGTTATTAATATTGTTTATTATGTCATATTAGATGAATTATGCTAGATAAATAAGCTGTAGAGCTGATATTAGTGTCATATTGAAGGACTATAGTCTCCCAACACAATTCCTAACATATGCCAGAAACAGACTTCTCTGGAAAACTTTTTTGAGCAACAGGGGCCCAGTGGCTCTCAAGCTGGTCCTAGTGGCATTAAAAAACAAAGGAGGGAAGTAACTCAGGATAAGGACTTGGTACCTGAAGTCTTTATAGAGTGGGATTCCCCTTCCAAACAACCGTAAACTTCTCCATCCTCTCCCCTCCTCCCGTCTTCCATACATCACCATGTCTTCAATAAAGGTAAGTGTTATGTTATTATTGTTTTATTCTTCATGTATCATTGTTTTCTGTGTAGGGAAATGTATATTTCATGTAAAAAAAATTATTTTGTTTAATACCTTTGGGTGTCTGGAATGGATTAATTGGATTTCCATTATCTGTTATGGGGAAAATTAATTCGGATAACAATAAAATCAGTTAAGGACAAGCTCTTTGGTACGGATTAATATTGTTAACTGAGGGTCCACTGTATATTACTGGAACTACTGAATACTCCTGAGAGAACCACTTTGTTAATACCTGGACAATGTAGTCTTGAAGATTCAGGTGAAGCCAGCCAATATTCAGGCTTTAACTATAGCACCGGAGTGTGAAATCTTCATGTCGTTCAGCCACAATGAAGAAAATATGTAGTATTTTGGTGGAAATGGTTTCAAAGCCTGGAAGACCAACATTCAGAACTGAGAGATGATTGTGTACTGTAATGTAATCTTTTTTTCTGAATAAATATTTTTTATCAGTTTTCTACTAATAATCTTCTTGTACATATTGCCCAAATTCAAGGAAATGGCTATTATTAATGTAAGCACAAAAGATCTCTTCAAGGTATTTTAAAAAAAGTGGTGCCAGACCTCAGAAAAAAAAAAAGAACTTGTGCCAAGATAGTTGCATCTGTGACCTTTTATCTAACAAGATAAAATACTGCCAAGTGGTAAGCTTACTTCACTTCAAAGGTAACAGCCACAACAGTACTGTTCACCAAAAGCTTTACATATGTAAGTTTGAAAAGTGTGACAGGCTGACTTGAGGTCACTGGGAATGGCATTTAGATTAATTATTTAGGTAATTGGTGCTTTCAATATAAAGTCGCCATCTTTTAAAATCTGACCAAGCAATGTTCTTTTATCATGGTTTGATATGCCTAGTTCTCTCAGTAAAAATAATAAGACAGACCTGGTATTATTACTCTTGTAAACAAACTTTATTTCTATAAAGTGGACTACAGTATATTATACAATTAGGGTGATTATAGAAAGCCTCTTATTATGTAAGGCATAATAAAGTCACACTTAATGTGTGACTTTACATGAAATTTTATAGATTCTTTCACTGACACACAAACTGCAAGGTGTACAGGTTACAAGTCAGCTTACACACAATACAAAATATTAATTCCAGCCTCCTGACCTTTCTTATGCACTTTAAAACTAAGATTCTTACAGTGAATTGTTTATCTAATTCTTTAGATAACATTGATGGAGCTCTATAACACCTGTTTAGGGCCAGGAAATCTCTCTCCAAGTTTACACAAAATATATTTTACAGAAATAAAGACATAAACACAAAAATCAAAATTAGTTACATTTACTAGAGTTACAATAAACTTATTAGAATCTTACAATCAAAATTTTGTATATTCTTGTGAAATTATTTATTACTCTATTGTATGGCAGTATTGTATTTTATTAGAAAAGTGAAAGTGAATAATGTAGGAAATAATATGAATACATAGTACAGTATTACCCTGAGATTCTCAGCAAACTCCACAAAAAATGTTAACTGACAACATTATATCATACACATCTTTTTTACTCTTAGGGATTTTGCTACAAATCCCTATCACAAACTGAAAAAAGTTACTAAAAAAAAAAAAGTATGCAATTTGCAGTAAATAAAAATTATACAGCACTTATGTAAAGCTTTGGTGAAAAATAATGGCCATTATTTGTATTGATTTTTGTTTGAAGATTTACAAATATGTTAATCTTCAAAAAATAACAAAAGATAAGCAAAAATTTCAATAAATAAACATTTTGTAACATAAATGAGACAATAAAACAGTAAACCGAAAAATCTGCTTCTTTTTATACTATATACTAGGTTGGAATACACTATTATATAAGAAAGCTTTTGGGGCAATTTATGTTAAAAAAAAAAAAAAAAGGAACTATGACTGTATTACTGCACATAGAAGAAACATGTACAGTAATACAGTGTACAAGTTGTAACAATAGTAATACAGTGTACAAGTTGTAACAACAGTAATACAGTGTACAAAATTGTAACAAGAGAAATACCTGTTGTGATCACATGCTTTATAATTACAGTGACCTTAAGAGATCTGAAATCTATGTAGAACTAAATACATTTCTATTACACAGCCATTGTGTTATACAAAGGACAGATGTAAGTAATACTTTGAGAAATTATCATTCGAAATGCTTAAAACATGTGTAAAATCAGTTTACAACTAATATTTCATTTTACGATATTTTAACTAAAAATGCTTAAATTGTTATCATCCATTTGTCAGCTACAAAGACATTCCAGTACTCAAGTTTATTATATTGTACAACAGAAATAATACTACTGACAAATGCAAAATATCTGAATGGAGTATGTCAAGCAAAGGTTCAAAATAATTTATTATACATGATTAAAGGTCGAGTAGGAAATGCTATGACAAAACAGTCACCTAATAGGCATCTGTTTTAGAGCATTTGTCTTAGCTGAAAGAACCAGGGTTTTATTCACAATCTGGGCAAAACAAAATGGTAAGTTTCAATACACTCAGTGGCCATGTTCACCTGCAGTAAACAGGTAAACACTGATCCAGGGATGAGTATCAAACTATAATTTGCTGGTGAGAACAGTGTACTGAGGTGAACTTCCACAGAATAAACAACTGTGTTTAATGCTGAAGAACTTTAACTCACATGGCTAGAGATTGTATTAATACTGGTAAAATTACCGACAATATGTTAAAGTAAAGGACACAAGTGCGACTAATGTGACATTTTATTGTGGCAATGTTTCGCTCTCCAGGAGCTTTGTCAATGGCTTGACAAAGCTCCTGGAGAGCAAAATCTTGCCACATTAGTTGCACTTGTGTCCTTTTACTTAACATGACTAAACATGACTTAACATGATTAAACTGTGTCCAACATATGCCTTACATCAAGGGACCAGACTGTGCCAATGTATGTCATACTGTGTATGCCTTCAAATATTCCATCTACTGGCAATTTAGGTCTTGGCTCAAATGTTAGGGTCACCTTCCACTTCCTCACATCTGGGAAAAAATTAAAACGATGCAGGTGCATGCAGCACATAATGGACAATAGTGCCTCAGTAACAAACATGGTGTGGAAGTGACAGGAGGATGATTTATTTATTTCAAATTTATTACAATTTCATGATACTAAGAATGGAATTCAGCCAAAAAGCATATTATTTAGATTTAACTTATTATAATCCAAATTTCAAAAAGTACTAAAACTTGAAATAAATGGAATATTATATGATTTCCTTGTACATAATGCTAGAAGACAAAAAAAAAAAAAAGAAAAAATTAACAGAATATTGCAATTGAGACTATGGTTATGCACATTTACACCAACATTACTGACACATGATCACTTAAAACCAACTTTACCACACCGTGAAACATAAGCTTTCTTTCGATTTCAGTTTCCTTTCTTCTGTGGTTCTATTTAACCCTTTAACTGTCCAAACAGATCTACGTTTGCTCACGTAGCTGAACGTAGATCTACATTTCTTTTACATTGTTTCTTATGGAGAAAATCAAGGTTGGAGAGCTACGCGTGCAAACGTAGATCTGATGAATTTTTGAAAACCGACAAGTTGAAGAATTGAGACACTTATGCAACACATGGGAATCTTTACTGAAGAAACGTTTCGCCACACAGTGGCTTCATCAGTCCAATACAAAGTAGAATTGGGTAAGGAGAGGAGAAGTTTGAGGTAATCAGTCCCTCAACCTGGAATCGATGTGTTCAGTCTATCACTCTTGTAGGAAGTGCAGCATAGGGCCAGAGAGGTGGCTTATATACTGCAGACAGATGAGGTGAAGCAGGAGGAGGTGGTAATCAGTCAGTTTTCAAAACCATTCATCACATCTGTCAGACACTGCAACATCATGGGATCTTGGTACAAAGACTTCAACGCTTGCCCAACCTTTGGATGATGACCTACTTACACTAGTGGCACAGTGGGACCTGCCACTAGTGTAAGTAGGTCATCATCCAAAGGTTGGGCAAGCGTTGAAGTCTTTGTACCAAGATCCCATGATGTTGCAGTGTCTGACAGATGTGATGAATGGTTTTGAAAACTGACTGATTACCTCAAACTTCTCCTTTCCTTACCCAATTCTACTTTGTATTGGACTGATGAAGCCACTGTGTGGCGAAACATTTCTTCAATAAAGATTCCCATGTGTTGCATAAGTGTCTCAATTCTTCAAACGTAGATCTACGTTTGGACAGTTTAAGGGTTAAAAAAAAAAAAACACTTTCAATCTATGAGGATTTTTTTTTTTAAATTTTACCATACAGGTATTTTTATTTCTGTGTCTGCCACAGTTTAAGGGTAAAATCTGAGCAATAAAGCCATGGCATGCGGAATCTTTATCACTCCAGCAGGTAAACCAAGAAGTTAATGATTACAAACAATCTGATTGCTTGGTCATATTTACTCACCGAGCAGCATGAGTGGCAGAGCAAGCTTATCATGGGCCATAATGATGTTCATCTGACCCAACAGGAAAGGTTTATCATTCAGATATTGCCGTCATAATAAAAAAAAAATACAGTCACATCACTAACTGGCAATTTTCTAGCTGACACAGCAAGAAAAAACAATCAAGATTGCAGACAGCTATACAGTATAGTATTGTAATACTCAAGCTATTGTAATATTTCATTTAACCCTATCAGATAGAAGGGGTTTTTATATGATGCATATTACAGTAAAAATGAGGTGAGTTTTCACACCTGAAGGGAATATTTAGGCTTATTATAAATGGATGAATATTTTGAACAAATCCTATAAAATTTTAGTGAGTGGGCCTTCTCTGTGACCCCCCTTCCCTCCTACACATACATCATAGTTCTGAGGACAGAATATTCTACAAAGTGAAATGGAGACGAATGGTTTTTGGGACTTGATGAGCTGTTGGAGTGTGAGCAGGGTAATATTTTGTGAAGGGATTCAGGGAAACCAGTTAGTGAACTTGAGTCCTGGAAATGGGAAGTACAATGCCTGCACTTTAAAGGAGGGGTTTGGGATATTGGCAGTTTGGAGGGATGTTTAAACTGTCGTATCTGAGAGCCTCTGCAAAGACTGATTATGTATGAGTGATGGTGAAAGTGTTAAATGATGATGAAAGTTTTTTCTTTCTTTTTGGGTCACCCTACCCCTGTGGGAAATGGCCGATGTGTTAAAAAAAAAATCTAACATATTACTGTACAGTGGAACCCGAGTTTCGAACAGCTCCCAACTCAACCAATTATGTAAGTGTATTATTGTAAGTGCTTTTGTAAGTGTATATTTGGGGGTCTGAAATGGACAAATCTAATTTATATTATTCCTTATGGGAATAAATTTGTTTGGTAATGGCACTCAAACAGCCTTCTGGAATGAAGAAAGTTCGAAACTGTGAAAGACTTATTTCAGCATCAGAAGCCCCAGCTGGTCCCACCTGGAATATATCACATCACAGTCATGGTGTAAAAGAAAAAGGCAACTGACCTTTCAAAGTTTCATCTGTTTTTTCTTCCAGTTTGCATCAGAAATGAACAAACACTACAGTATACCAGTCATTTGCAGTAATTTGTGTATCACTTTATCTATCATTGAAATGTAATAGAGTGCAAAACTAATATGCTAAAATGGCTTAACCAAATAGACTTACATTCAAAAGGTGCTTTTAGTTGAAACAATGATTAAATGAAACTTGTATCTTCTCTGTGAATAAGGAAAACAATGTGATACTGGCACCCTTCTGGCAAAACAGTAACAGAATGAGTGATAGTGAATGTTTTCTTTTTTGTTGGGTAACCTTACCTTGGAGAGAGACAGCTGGTGTGCAAAATAAATATACATGGGTTCTGAATACCATTCTTTGAAACTAACAATTATGAATTATATATAACATGAAAGTTATTGCTAAATTTAATTATGATCAGTAGATACGAGAAAAAGTGCAATCAGACATACAAGTGCTCTTTGGTAGACTTTTGGATCACTTTGCATTCTTTAAGGTGCTTTTCATATTCATCTCTTGCAAGAAATACTTTTCCACAAGCATAACACACTGTTAAAGGAGACAGGATAACCTGGCATGGTCGTAAGGCATTCTTATTTTTGTTTGGTGTTTTACATTCAAAAACATCGTTAGTTTTAGCCTTCAAAGAGCTTATTTCCATGGACTCCTTGAAGCTTTTTTGTTTATTATTCTTCACTGGAGAGTTCATATTGTATCTCCATGGTCCATTAAGTTTATCTGAATCTTCATTAAGTTTTTTCTTTGTTAATGAACTGTGGACATGCCAAAATTTGAAAACATTTGTTAAACATTCGTCTTTTCCGGATGAATCAGAATAAAAATCTACGTCATCCCCCAAAATTCGGACATGTCATCCACTGGTGTAGTGACCAAAGTCTTTGGATCTACTGGTAAAACTGAGTCTTCAGTGGAGTTATATGATGGCAAATGATGTTTTGTGTTATCATTTGCATGTGTTAAAGATTTGTCAGAACTGAGAATCTTTGATGACCAAGGATGGGAATCATTAACCTCAACATTTAACAAGTCGTTTTGAAGTGAAAATGTTGGCAGCAAGTCTGACCCATCATGAGTTATGATGCTACACTTCTTGGAAATTTCTACTGGAACTTGGTCTGAGCGTTGAAGAATTGGCAACTCATTTTCATGATGCAATGGCAATGAATTTGTTTCAGATGTTTCTCTTAATATTGAATTACTACATGCTGATGTTTCTGATACTTTTCTTAATTTATTCGTGTATGTCTGTGTAGGCATAGTGAGCAAGAAACTTGTTGAAGGAAAAGAATAAAATTTCCTGGTCTGTGGCTTGACACAATTTGTACATTCTGCTGTTAAACAGCAACCTGCTTCAATAAGCTTCATTTGTAATTGTTTCTCAGAAGCAGATTTCTCAGAGGTTATAGAGGTGTCTTGACTTTCATCTTTTTGTGACCTTGAGAGTGTGGGTGAAAGCTCATCTGAGAAAATACAGTCACATAAATGTGAAAATGAGTGTGGACTATGAGAGGACCTTACCAGAGGAGTACAACTATTCTCACTTGATAATACTCTCAAGGGATAGAGATGTACTGGGCAATCTTTCTTGTGGTCTGCCTTCAATACTTCAGATTTTTCTATCTTATTTCCTTCCTTATCTGAAAGAGATTAGAAAGAATCCTTCAATATCAGGGGGCTAATGTACTGAATACTGCCATGCACAAATTCTATTTTCATGAGAGAAAAAATTTAAATGTGTTAAACATTACCTTTATTTCCAATGGAATATAACTCTCTTGCAACCTTTTCAGTGATTTGCTGCATCTATTAAAAAAAAAAAACAAGAAAAAGAAGACATAAATATTCCACAAGACAAAAGTTATACTGATCAAATAATCACCAGGAAATCCTGGCTATAAATGCACAACTCTCAAAATCATCATTAGATAAACAATTAGTACATGATCATCCATTACAGCGATGAATCTTCATGATATTTTTGCTACTTTTAACCCTTTCAGTGACTGTCACATAGATTTACAACTTTACTGCTCCCACAGATAAACGGTATGCAGTAAATTTTGACCTAGATATGAGAGAATGGGTCTGTGAGGCGAGTGTGCACTGTATAAAAAAATCCTGCCCCAGGCGGTGAAAGACGGGGAAAAGTAAAACTCTACCAGTGTGTTTGGTTGAAAATAACAAATTTCAGGTGTTTTCTAGGATGGTTTTTATTTTGTTGACTGTTTCTTGGTATCATTAGATAGAATGAAAGACATACTATTGAAATGGAGATGATTTTGGTTGGTTTCAAGACTGGAAGTAGCTTGAAATTGGGGTCAAATTAGTGGAAATATTTGATTATTACTCATTCCTTTGCCAGACAACACACCCCCTTCTCCATTCTTCAAGAATTTAAACTTAATATACAAAATATGCACTCATATTACTGTGCTTATTATATATACAGAACATTAAACTCCATCATTTACCCTTCCTGTAAATGTCTTGACAGCTACAACAGAATGCACAGGTACAACACAGGACACAAAACTCTCTTTGACATCCCCATGTCCACCTCATCTTATGCAAAAATGCAATGCACACGAATGGCCTTAAGATCTGGAATTCAACTAGCAGAAAGTCCTCTGTCAGCCAATCAATTTACTGTTATGGTTAAATTTTATCTTATTTCCCTAATGTAACTAATCCAACAATATGCTACACCAAACAAAACCAGCTTATCCAACTCTATCCCCATTCTTCCAGTCCTCCCCAGACTCCCACAAAAAATTAACTACTCACTCTATTCCATTATAATTCTAAGAAAATCTAATAAACTTCCTGTTTCCTCACTATCTCTTTAATTGCTTCAGTTTGAAACTGCTTAAGCAATCCCAATTACCTTAAGACCACTGAATCAGTTTAAAGAATTAATGCATATTTTATGTTGTACTATTTTCATTTAGCTACATCTCTTCTTTGTATCAATGAATACTGAAAAATGTACTATTGTTCATTGAGCTACCTCACTTTTGTACATTAAAAAAAGTCTAGTTCTTAAGTAGTCAGCAAGCATTAGGAAACTTAATTTAAGCAAAACAAAAGTGGACACTGAGAGAAATATTAATTTTCGGGGGACCTGTAAAGTTTACTATAACAATTAAGTGAATTTAATAGCAATTTTGACTAAAGATGAGAGTGGTGACACAGTGGCCACTGGAGCTGCAGAATATAACTGCTAGTCAATGTTTAGTTAGATTAGAAGAATATGCCTGTGCTGCACAAGACTTGGGAAGCTCATTATAATGAGGACACAATGAATTCAGTTATGGAGTGAATGATGATTTTCTTCTTTTTTTTTGGAAATGCATACTGAAATTTTACTATTGCTCATTTAGCTACTTCACATTTTTGTACATTTAAAAACTACTACATGTACTTAATAACCCACGTCTAGTTCTCAAGTCGTGTTTAAGCATTAAGATTAATCTGACCAAAATGTACAGTATGCTAGAAGCTTTCTTTTGTGCCTAATAATATTTTATTACATGTAAACATGTTAAAAAATTATTACCTGAGAAACAGAGTAAATCTTCTATTTTTTGTGCAAATACTAATTCGAAATGGAAAGAAAGTGTAATATAGGAGAGGGGTAGAAATGTGACTAACAAAAAGAGTAAATGTTGTTTTAGTGCCAGGAATGTCTACATTGTTTATTATGAACTCTATTTTTAAAGCAGCATTTTTTTAAATTTTGTATGAAATTGGCCAAATTACCAAATTCTGATCACTTTATTAGTTAGCTGAAATAGTTGAATGGGCAATTTCTTGTACTAAATCAACAGAACTGAAGGCATACTAGCAAAATAGCCAAGAATATGGTCAAATGGAATTGACCTAAACTAGGACTCGGTGGGTGAAGTCGCCGGTGTGTAAACTGTGCCAAAACCATTAACTACGTGTCAGCGTCATTCCATAAATTTTCATGCCTTTGGCATTATTACCTTCAGAAAAATGTTCTCTACTATTTCATGATGGGGATGGGGGGTGTTGGACACAGATCAAGTTTCAGTTTGGGGGTCTGGACCCTGAAAGGATTAACCCTTAAACTGTCCAAACGAAGATCTACGTTGACATGCGTAGTGCTCTGAATGTAGATCTACATCCAATTTACATACTTTCAAATGGAGAAAATAAAAGGTCGGAGGGCTATGCAAGTCAATGTAGGTCTACATTTGGACAGTTTAAGGGTTAATGGTTACCTTTTCTTTTGTCTCTCCTTGTTCTGCTTTCACTGGTGCAATGATGATCTGTTTTTCAATTTTTTGTTTTAATTCTTCCATCTTTTTTATTTTTCTTTCAGATTTTCTCTCCCACGTGCATGGACTGTGAATAAAGAAACAATAATAATAATAATAACAATAATAATAATAATAATAATAATAATAATAATAATAATAATTATAATAATACAGCCTCTCCTCACTTAACAGAGTTCTGTTCTTTAGAACACATCGGTAAACAAATTTGTTGTTAAGTGTGGAGCATACTATAATGGTAGTGGGTTTGTGTCAACCATCTTTGATACTGTTTTAATGTCACCTTGGCACCATTTATAACATTTCTGGTATATTTTTAAGTGTTTATACAGTAGTTTACTGTATACACACTGTAATAAACAGAATAAAGGAAATCAGCTTTAATATACATTATTTAGGTATGCATACTGATCAGAGAGCCTGTCGTAAGTCTGAGTCGCCGGTAAACGAGTACGTCGCTAAGTGAGGAGAGGCTGTAATATATATATATAGGTATACTAGGATGGTAGATGATACCCAAGGAGGTACTACCATCCTGCCAAATGAGTGTGAAATGGAAACCTGTAATTGATTTCACAATGGCAGGATTGCTGGTGTCTTATATTTCTGCCTCATAAACACACAAGATAACAGGTACATGTAGCTGCTTCTACATACATTTAGGCCACACTACACATACATGTACATATATGTATACACATTCATCTAAGTTTTATTTTCTTAATAGTTCTTGTTCTTTTTTATTATCCTTTCATCTCTCCATGGGGAAGTGGAAAAGAATCTTTCCTCCATAAGCTATTCATGTCATAAAAGGTGACTAAAATGCTGGGATCAAGGGACTAGTAACCTCCCTCTGTATAAATTACTAAACAAAAGAAGAAGTAAAAGCAAGGGTGTTGGGAGAGATGTGGGATTGGAAGATAAAGAATCTAACAAAAAGTAGGAGTTATCACAGTTGCTTACTGCTGATGACACTGTGCTTTAGGAAGATTCTGAAAGAAGTTGCAAAGGTTGGTTGATGAATTTGGGAGAGTGTGTAAAAGAAGGATATTAAAAGTGAACATAGGAAAGAGCAAGGTGATGAGATTAACAAAATATTTAGGAGAGTGGTGCATTGAGGCATTTGTGAAGACAAAGAATATCATCCATGGAGAAAAAAAGGGGAATGTATAATAATATAGTGGCACCAACACTCTTATATGGGTGTGAAGCATGGATTGTGACTTGCAGAAAAGAGAAGGCTGGAGGCTAGGGAGATGTTGTGTCTGAGGGTAATGAGTGGTGTAAATATTATGTAGAAAATTCATAGTGTATTATCATAGTGTATTAAAGTATTATCAAGAGGGCTGAAGAGGGGGTCTGGACATCTGGAGAGGATGGAACAAAGAAGGATGACTTGGAGGGTGTATAAATCTATAGTGGAGGGAAGGCAGGGTAGAGGTCATCCCAGGAAAGGATGGAGGGAGGGGATAAAGGTTTTGTGTGCGAGGGGCTTAGACATCCAGCAAGTGTGTGTGAGAGTGTCAGATAGGAGTGAGTGGAGGCAAGTGGTTTTTTACGATTTGATGTGCTGTTGGACTGTGAGCAAAATAACATTTATGAAGGGATTCAGGCCACTTCCAGTCTGAAACTGACCAAAATCATCTCCATTTGAAGTTTTCAATTGACAAGAAGAAACAGCCAATAAAAACATGAGAATTAGAAAAAAAAAAAAAAAAAAAGCCTCAGGATTGCTATTTTAACTCAAACACAACTTTAAAGGTTAGCTGTTCCTATCAAAACAGAGTCCATAATAAACAATGTAGACATTCATAGCACTAAAACGTGTCCTCTGTTCATTAGTCACATCCCCAGCTCTCTCTTTCATAACACTTGCTTTCCATTTTGAATTCTTATTCACACAAAAGACTTACTCAAGGTCCATTCTCTCATCTTAAGGCCAAAATATAGTGATTACAGCATATCTGAGGGTGCTATGATTAAGTTGCAGATCTAGGTAAGTGACACTGGTTATTGTTTGTAATACTTCAATTGCTGTAATACTTCATATTGTAAATTATTTAAACTGTTCTATTTTAAAACTGTAATTTTTATAAAATAATTCAAAACTGTAATTATTCACTACTAAATTTCTCTACTAGACCTATTAAAGCTATATAGCATTACTTATTAATACTCAATTCTCTGTACCCAATGTAACTCACCTAATGACCATTTAATCTGTTATAGCCTAATTAATCTTAAGTTAATTTTAAGTTTGCCCAAAATGCTCTGCATATAAGGGGCTTTTGGCATGTATATTCAACTATTATATTTCTTTGTACAACTATGCATCCTATCAAAATAAAATATTATTGTATTATTATTATTATTATTATGATAATCATTAATGACAGGGATTTTCATGAGACAGTGAAAGGGTTAAAAACACTTTAGTAGAGTTTATAGTTTAGTAAACCTTTAATTTAACCCGTAAATGGTCCAAATGTATATATACGTTTTTTTCAACATTTGAAAGTATGTAAAAAAAGTAGATCTTCTTTTTGTTTTTCTACATTTGAAAATGTGTAAAAAAAACTTTGATCTACTTTTTTTTTTGTTATATTTGAAAATATGTAAAAAAAACTTTGATCTACTTTTGTAGCACTACACATGTGAACGTAGATCTGCTTGGACCGTTTACGGGTTAAAGGCCTTTGGAACTATGTGACAAAACTTGCAGGATCAACTGAATCAGAAACAATGGACAAAATCCTGTTGAAAGAATTGTGTTATTGTTACAATTATGGCAAAAAATATCATCTCTATCCACCACAATCACCATTACCAGCCACTCACTCCTCCTTATTAGGCCATTAAACTGAAGGTTCACTACTTTCACATTTAGTCAGTACATTGCTAGTTACTGCAAATGTTGCTTATAATGTTAAGTTCAGGGTCAATGGTTTAATCCATGAATGAGAAACATTTTTAACCCTTTCAGGGTTTTGGCCGTACTAGTACGGCTTACGCACCAATGTCCATGACGTACTAGTACGCATAAATTCTAGCGCCTTCAAATCTAGTGAGAGAAAGCTGGTAGTCCTACGTATGAAAGAATGGGTCTATTTGGTCAGTGTGTGCAGTATAAAAAAAATCCTGCTGCACACAGTGCGTAATGAGAAAAAAAAAACTTTGACCGTGTTTTGGGATTAAAACAGTGACTTTGCACTATATTTTCGTATGGTATTTATTGTTGTATTCTAGTTTTCCTGGTCTCATTGTATAGAATGGAAGACATATTACAGAAATTGAGATGATTTTGACTGGTTTTACAATGAAAAGTACCTTGAAATTGAGCTCAAAGTAGCAGAAATGTTCGATTTTTACCAAAGTTCAAAAGTAAACAAATCATGCTAAGCATCCAATACACGTCAACTGGTGAGTCTAATATTCTTTCACAAGTGCGCCGGTATTATTTATACCATTTCTACACTAATGCGGTAGTCTGCATAACAGTAAATCCTATTTTTTTTGTGAGAAGAAAAATTCAAAGTGGAAAGCAAAAGAAATGTAAGAGGGGCCTGGGGATGTGACTAATGAACAGAGAAAATGTTATTTTAGTGCCAGGAATGTCTTTCTTGTTTATTCTGGACCCTATTCGGAAATTGGCATCTTTTGAAATTTGTGTGAAATTGGCAAAATTGCTAAATTCTGACCATTGTATTGGATAGTTGAAATTGGTAAATTGGTGGTTTCTTGTACTCATTCCATAGAAAAAATGGAGTTCTAGCGAAATAGTTATGATTTTTGTCGACTAGTACATTAGAATTGGCCGAAAATAGGGCTCAAAGTGGGAAAAATTGCCGATGCGTAAACATCATCGAGACCGCTAACTTCGCAAGAGCATAATTCCGTAAGTTTTCCATCAAATTTCATACTTTTGGTGTCATTATGATCGGGAAAAGATTCTCTATCTTTTCATAAGAAAAAATAATTTTTTTTTTTTTTTTTTTTTTTTAAATTTGGGGGACCCTGAGAACAAGTCTCTGAGAGGGCCTGTGGACCCTGAAAGGGTTAAAACCTGATACTGAAAATACAGTAGATGGTTGATTAAGACGTAATCTTCTAGAATGTGTGAGTTGCAAAATTGCAGCATTTTTTGATCAAGACTATGAAGTTCATTTATGAGAGTGCCAGAAGCTTTGTTGGACATGCACCCACATGCAAAATCTTGAATACTGTACTACCACTGGATCCTGGAATTATTAGGTAATCCAAGTGTAATTACACACGAAGAGTGATGCAGAAACTTGTTGCAGCAATGGATGCTGATTCTGAGCTGGCAGTACCAAACTTTTGGCATAAATTTATCATTACAGATGCCATACGCTATGCCAGAAGAGCATGGAACAAAGTGCCCCAATCAACATTAAATGAAGCCTGGGAAAAGTTGTGGCCTAGTGTGGTGAATACTTTCATTGGTTTTTCCTCACTTGAGTAAGGTACAGGAAATAGTTCAGCTGGTAAGGAGATTACCAGATGATAACTTTGAAGATATGCAGGAAGATGATGTGAATGAGCTCTTAGATGATGATGAAGACAGGAGTCTAGAGGAAATGTTGGCAGAGCTCAACACCCAGACACAAGGGAAGCAGATAAGAGAGAAAGAAAAACCAATTATATATTTTTTTTTTATTATTATCACACTGGCCGATTCCCACCAAGGCAGGGTGGCCCGAAAAAGAAAAACTTTCACCATCATTCACTCCATCACTGTCTTGCCAGAAGGGTGCTTTACACTACAGTTTTTAAACTGCAACATTAACACCCCTCCTTCAGAGTGCAGGCACTGTACTTCCCATCTCCAGGACTCAAGTCCGGCCTGCCAGTTTCCCAGAACCCCTTCATAAATGTTACTTTGCTCACACTCCAACAGCACGTCAAGTATTACAAACCATTTGTCTCCATTCACTCCTATCAAACATGCTCACGCATGCCTGCTGGAAGTCCAAGCCCCTAGCACACAAAACCTCCTTTACCCCCCCTCCAACCTTTCCTAGGCCGACCCTACCCCACCTTCTTCCA